TCTGTGGCAAGGGCTATCAGAGGATGAGTTTTTCCAGCTGCTGGACAATGCTTCAGCAACTGATCGTCGTTTCGGCGAATACGACTGGGATTTCCTGTCAAAGGCCATTCTGTCTGACACGATGCTGATGACATTCATCACGCAGGAGCCAAAGCGCTCGCTGATTGGGCTGAAGATAATCTTGGGCCGTTATCGTATGGCCCCCGGTCGGACCTAGTCGCACGGTTTAACCAGATGCAAACCGAAAGGGAGCATCCAAACAGGGAAGCGGCAAATGAGGCATGTGTCGGCCCAGGGAAACAATATGTTCCCCGTCCTCCGCTGGAGGATCAGCCGAATTCGAACCAGATCTCCGCCGACGTATTCCGCGGTCGGGAGATCCGTTTGGGGCTCACTCTGCCCGACTCCCAAAGCGGAGATGATGAGCTCAGCGCGCAGGACGCAACGTGGAACGTTGAGTACTGCGACTTTTACAAGGCCGCCGCGAATCTGTGGCGTGCGAGGTCATGCTTGCGCGAAGCCGCAGGATGCATGATTGAAACTGGGTATATTCACCCTCAGATGGCTGCGGCCATTGCAGCGACCGAAAAGGTCGAAAGATTTTGTAATGTTCTTCGGGCTGCCAACCGCTATGCCGGTTTGGGCACGTATCGATTCAATGAAATCGTGGGCAGGAATCTGCTCGATGGGTATGACGACTGGAGAACTCCTCCGAGGGAGGAGGACCATCCCGAGTTCCTTGCTCGGGAGGTTGAGGACGTCTTCCGTTCCTATTGCGCGGGCCTTTTGAGGTCTGAAAGTTTCGACCTCAGGTCCTGCGTAATTGACCCGGAACCGGCGCCCAAGGCGGAGCCGGCTCCCAAGATGAAGCCACCTCCTCCATCTCTGTCGGTCAGTAAGGGCCTTCCTAGGCGGTCGGCTCCTGCTGTACACACTGGGTCGGCTCACACCGCCAAGCGTCCAAGAGAGACTGGCGGTGGCTCCACTGGGAGCGTGCAAATCCCAGGACATTATTTCGGCAAAGCCCGCACAAAGGAATCCCCTGCCCAACCCTCTGAACCGCCAACGGGCGGGGCAGGGGGGAGCGCACAGCCGTCCGCAATGGATGTGGATAAGGAGGGGAGTAAGGGCGATGAGAAGAAGACCAAAGCGGCCAAGGAGGCTGCCGTAGCGTCAAAGAGCGCAAAGCCGCATCCGGCGAAAGCGTCACGTCCTGAGGCCCTAAGCGGCTTGTTGGATGTGACGCTGATCAGCGATGTACGGGAGCGTGATCGGGATATTTCCGATGACGAGTATTCCCCTACGAATGTGTGCATGTTTCCGGAATCATGGGAGGGCGTAATGCCGACCTCCGTAACTGAGAAGGCCGGAGGCTTTGAGCAGTTCAGAAACGAGCTCATGAGGATCCAGAGAATCCTGGATTCTCCGGCGTTGGTTGACCTTGGTAAGGTCGATCTGGACGCTCTGGGCGAACCGCCGGGAGTACGTCTCGGATGAGGATCACGAGAGTCACGTAGATGATGATGGGATGGGCCCATATGTGGACAAGTTCTCATCAATGGGCGACCGCGACCTAGTGCCCTCAAAGCAGGAGCCGCCTTACCATGAGGCAAAGGCGTGGCGTACCACTGAAGAAGAAATTGAAAGGATGAAGAGCCTTTTTCCATACTTTCGTGCCGAAAATTATCGGCTTATGTCGGCGGGGACTGGGCCCATAGGTACCAAAGCGCACGTACAGGGCGTCCTCCCTGCTGGTGCATCGCTAGAGGAGGCACTAATGGCAAAGCCCGATGTGTGCCCGATTGCGAGCACCTACAACCTCACATACGAGGGTGAGGAGGTTGTGTTTGATGCACAGAGCGGGACAGCAGGCAGAATCGCCTGTCCTGCCGGTAAAGACATATTCCACTTTTTCCCCGAAATTAGGGATGTGTCGGCGATGATTGGGCGAAGCTCCAGGGAGTCGCAAATGCTGCTAGAAATTTTGTCGGGCAACACTGACCCAACGCGGTTGAACGTGAAGCCCGGTGAGCCGGCCCCCTTCTTGTTTGGGACAGTTCCAGACATTCTGGGAGGTTGGATGTCGATGACTCTAATCTCAACGCTTTTTGAGGCCCTATACGGGATCCATAAGTGCACGAGTGTCGAGGTGGCGACCTGGGCGGGTTCTCTCGCGAAGGAGAACCCAGCATACCCCCCAGTCGAGCTCCTAATACGGACGGTCTGGAGGGGAGATGGCACGGTTGTGCGCCCAAATGAGGTGCTGTTTGCGCGTTCCACCCTAATCGGGAGGGACGTGCCGTTCAAGGTTTTCAAGCGTTGGGCACTGCGTGACCGAACGCCTATCGGGCCTTTGCTTAGGCCGATGGGAGCAGCGGAGGTCCCTTATACGGGATACGTGCTGCTGACGATGGCCGAGTATCGGTCCGCCCTCAAAACGAGGTGCATCCGGAGGCCCGGCAAATTCGCCATCACAGTTTTCCCCATGCGACCTGAGCAGGTCTGCAGGGGGGAGATCACGATTGGGTTGGAGGGCGCAAAGGTGCCTCTCCTCAAGTTGCCAAGCCCCAATAATGAGGGCGAATTTTATGTTGACGACCGCGTCAAATACATGGACAAGCGCCATGTCGTTGTGGCCGTTGACCTGAAGTGGATGGCCATCGAGGAAGCCGCCGGCATCTACAAAACCCGACGCGGTTTGATTGCTGTGCGAGAGGAGATACATGCGCCCTTCTGGCGCGCATGTTATCTGCATCATGAAGGGGATGTAATATACATCCGTCCCTGGGCGGTCCGTGAGTTGAATGTTCAGGGACCGCGGAGAGGGGAGTCATTCTCATGGGACAAAGCTCCCACGCATGACTACTGGTGCCCTCGGTGCGCGCATTTAAACATGTATGGCACCATTCTATGCAATGGTTGCCATTTGCCGATTTTCTATCGAGAATGGGTGCCAGGCACCGTCCGCTCCCATGTTAGGAGAGGTCAGCCAGTCTGGTTAGACGGACTCAAGGCAGTCCGTGCCAGCAGCTGGTATGAAGGGGAGACCGACGTGTGGGCTCCTCTCATGGCATCGGTAAACCCGATCCGCGAGGTGGTCAGCTGTATGATCTCCGGTTTGCGCTGTGCGCCGCACCTTGTGCACAATCCCAATGCGGATGTTGTGCAAGTTGCCTACCCCGCGACCTGAATCCAGGTCAAAGGGAGATCAGCAAAAGGGCAAAGCCCCTGCGCAATCCTGGCCCAAGGGTGGAGGTCACAAGGGTGACCAGTTTCCAGGAAAGGGTCACAAGGGTGATCAGTACAAAGGCAAGGGTGGCCAATACGGCTACCAACAAGTTCGGTCGTGGCGGATCCGCCAGATCGAGAACTCCCACTGGCGGGTATCAGCCTGATGCTCGCGGGTCGGGATTCAAGGGCGCACAGGCTGCCCCTTACCCGTTCCCGAGTCCGATGTATCCCACTTTCCCAATGGGAGGATACATGCAACAGCCCATGGCTGGCATGATGCCACAAATGTGGCCTGGCGCAATGCCGCAGGGTTGGCAGCCGCATATGCAGGGTGATCCCCGCGAGTTCGAGAATCCGAACTCGCCGCATACCCCTACTTGGGGTGACGGTGACGAGTTGGCCGAGACTGTGCCTCCTCCCCCTGGGGACTGGAATGCCAGCAAGGGGAAGGGGCGGCACGGCGGTGGACGACATCGGTGATACCTGAAGTCTGTCCATGCGTTTTGCATGGCTGCGCCAACGCGCATGCTTTCATCCCGGAATTCACAAAATGGGCTATGCTCCTTGTAGTATTTCTTTGTCTGGGCTATTCGCCGTTTCAGAATTCAATTGCATGTGTAGCTGTGCGCTATTCGCGCAAGCTGCGATTACCTGTCAGGTGTGCATCGCCGCAGCAAGGCAGTCACTCTCGGCGGCGTCTATGGCCGCTGGTGATCTGCACCCACCTGCACCGCTGCTGCTGCTGGTGATGGTGCTCATCAAGGTGCCGAGGTGAAGATCACGGGTGCCCTGCACCGCTGCTGGTGATGTCCTACTCGGACCTGAACCGCCGAGTGCCGCTGGCGGTATCCCTGGAGGTGGTCTTCGAATGATCGCGCGCCTAGACGGTGCTAATTTATAGCCAAAGCTCATTGGTCTATGCACCATGTTTCAACCAACTGGCCAATGCGCCTAATCTAATAATTAAAAATTAAATCCACTTGAATCAAATGGTTCAATGTGGTTGCAATGCAAATGACAATTCTTCGGCTTCATGCCTGCCATTCCGAAGTTGATCCTTTGTTCTTTTCTTTTGTTGCTTTCTCTTGTTTGATTTGGCTACCGGCGAGAATCCGCCCCGTACCCGTAATTCGGGGTGGTGGCGGGATCCGGGCACCAATGAGTGCCCGGGTATGGGGTCGCGAACCCTGGTAGCCTAATCGGCTTTGTTTGTCTTGTTTGTTGCATTTCAACTTCAACATGGCCAATGCGCCTTTCCAAATTCACTCCTTCTCTTTGTACAGTCGAGGGGGGTGTTTTTGGGGGCATGTACTTTTATCATAGCGTATGTTATTCCCTGCCAATGTCCAACGCGACATTTGGCTCAAGCTTTTGCACTCGGCAAACTTTGCCTGCCATTTCGTCGGGAAAAGCTCGCGGCGCTCCACACGCCGGCTGCGTGGCATCGCGGCCGTCGTAACTGGGGCGGTGGTCTTTATCCCGGAGGTGGGTCGGGCTATTGTTTGGGGTGCGCTGCTATGCTCGGTCTCTTCTTGTTACAAACGAGGCACCCCTTTTGGTTCGTGTTAGTGCCGGCCGGGGGCAACTGCTTTGCCCTTGGGACCGGGGGGATAAGGTGGTCTCTTCTTGTTGGTGGGTTAGGGCCTGTTTTATCCATCCCGAAACTCTGTTTCAAACCCTTTCGCAAAATGGAAACCACAAGGAACACCATTCGGGGCCCGCCCTAATTGGACAGATAGAGTACCATGCTGCAGTTTGGCAGCATTAAGGACCATCTCATCGACATGAAGGGTTTACCACACGCTGAAGCTTCCTGTGCGTTTGAGTGCTGGGAGTCTTTTTGCGCGCTGTACAAATTCAGGCGCCATCATGCTGCCGCTTCCTTTTCAGAAGACAACGTGATATTGAACACGAGACAATAGAAATGTCAGCTGCAAGAGAAAAGGAAGCATATTAGGCACTGCTCGCCATAGGAAAGTTTCACTAGTCCTATTTACGGAAGGTCAACGCTTGCCTTCGCCCCGTTCAGTACAAACATACCCCTCGTTCGGTCAATTGTGGAAAAAGGGGCGTGTGTCATTGCAGTCGGCACTGGCAATTGACTACTCGTCCGCCTTTCCCATGCTGGTGCTGCACACAAAAAGTGGTATTTGACTGGCTCACAGCACTGCAGTGTGTTGCAACATTAGCACAGCTGGCGGCATGCATTTGCAGTTTTTGAAGCTGCACGCTGCACATGTGCGTATCATTGTTGTGGCAATTGCTAGCATCAAGCTTTCAATAGGCGCACCTCCTGCATGGATAGATAAGTCCAAAAGCGGGAAGCTTCTTGACGCTACATGATGCGCCTCCAACATGCCTAGCGCAGTCCTCAAGGTTTGCCGTGGTGAAAGCACGTGTGGCAAGAAGCAATCGCTTTGTTTGCCTTGTCCAGGATATTTTGCTCTCCTCCTGATATTCACCGTGTCTCATGCGGGAGCTTAGACATTGAAGTGGACTGTTTGCACGCTTGATCGACTAGGCTCAAGATGATGACTTCGAGTGGTTCCGCTGCGATGCATGCTCTGCCCAATCCCTGGCTTGTGGATTAGTGGCATTCAACCTGGGACGCGTGTGCCCAAGGCCGCCTTCTTCAAGATCAACAGGACCAATTCTTGCCAGTCGCACGTTTTGCACTGGCAAGACTCATGTTTTGCGAAGGACTCTGGTTGAGAAGCAGCTTCTTCGCAGGGCAAGCGTGGCAAGCTATGAGTTTTTGGAGTCTCATTTGCACTGGTGTAGCTTTTACGATGTGTGTATGCAGAGCATGATGTCTCGTTACCCTTGCAAGGAGATTGTTGATGAGGCTGCCGGAACAATGCATGACAACCAAGCGATAGTGAGAATGCAGCTAGCTTGCTGCCTTTGCAAGCAGCTTTGCCAGCGCCTGCAGGTATGCGAGACTATGTTTACCAAGCATGAGCAGCTTGTCTGACAGATTGGTTCCTTTGCGCGTTCTTTCGCCGGCGAATGAACACCCACCTGCGCAAGGTATGGGGTCAAGCAACATGAAGCCTCTTGTCTCACGTTTTGTTCGGAGTGTCTTGTTTTGTAAAGCCCAGCAGCCTGAACGCCTCACATGCCCAGGGCAAGAAGTATCTCTTTGGTCCTGGCGTGACCGATCACATCCCAGGGCAAGGCTTTGGCCAGATGGGAATGGGCGAGCTTGGGCTGCACAGAGAGCCGACAGTGGATCCCACAGCAACTGAATTCATGGCCGGCATGGCCGAAACCCTTGTGTTTGTGGCGAAAATGTATGCTCAGCCATCCTGGCTTCAATCATCAGCGATGAGTCCTGCGTCTGAGTCAGGATTACGACAAGCGGATGGCATCATATTGCAAGATGTTTGTCGAGGAATTTGGCGAGGCGAGGTCACACATTCACGCACGTTGCAAATGTGTACAAGGCAAAGGCTGTTGTGTTTTACTTCATCAGTGCCGTAAACGATCGAGCATGCAGGAGAAGCTGCAGCAACTGTTTTGGGAACAGAGGCAGACAGGAATCGGCGCTCGGCTTGCAATTGGGGTACCTGGCGAAGGCAGATCAACCACACCCAGCTCTGCTTCGAGGAGTGCCAGACATCTGCAAGTGGAACTGGTGTGAGGGCCCCATGCAGTTGTTCCGCTGTTGAGCATGCTGCCATTCTTCCTTCCGAGCAAGGCTCAGTCAAAGACGCAAAGACGACCAAGGACATGCCGCGCTAGACGCCACTGGTGGCATGTGCAAGAGTGTGCACGGTACAAAGAGGGAACGGCAAGCACTAGAAGGAGCAAACAATGCCGATTTTCCTGTGCCCAGCTTTGACAGGACTCGAAGTTCAGCGGTTGAGGAAAAGCCAAAGCCAAAGCCCAAGAAGCCGACGGCCAAGCCAGCGGAGCCCATAGGAGAGCTGGGCAACAAGTTGTCATTGGAAGTTCCAGAGCAACTCTTGCAGTCGCTGCGCAATGCATAGTTCGCCAGGATCGAGCGCGAATCTGGAGAAGGCGGGGAGAAGAAAAGAAGCTTCTGGCTTCCCTTCTCAACGTCTCAACTTCTCAACTCACGGAGCTGACCCTTCCAGACGCTGGCGCTGCTGCCCCAGTTCAGCGCCAGTCAGCTGCGGCACCTGGGGGAGGCGGGTAGAAAGGCTCAGGAAACCACAGGCTTTGGTATGTGACAAAATAGGGAGCCGCCCCACATGTTGGTTTTCCTACCCACCCGGACTGACATTTTTCAGTTTGAGTCAAGATGGGTCGTGTGTCGCCAAAAGGACACTTGACGGCCAGTGGTTCGGTTTTTGCACACTGTGCTTTTTGTGGAAGCAACTTTCATCGTCGGACAGGGATGTTTGCCTGGTCCGATCGCTTTGGCACACCTGGTTTTGTGTGAACAATTTTTTTGGCGGGGATCCGCGAAAATTGGATTTCCGTTTCACGAATGCTAACTTTACGGCCAGCCCCTGAGGTTTGCCGGCGCCCGGAACCAACGCCCCAACACCAAGACCCGGAGATCACGAAGCTCCGACCCGCCTGAAGCATTTTGTCTGCGCTGCCACTGCTGTTACTTTGTCACGATTCGTAAAGCCAAGCGCAGCTAAACCATAAAAACCCTAAACCTAACCCTAAAAACCCTAAACCTAAACACTGAAAGCCCTAAACCTAAGCCTAAAAACCCTAAACCTAAACCCTAAAAACCAAACCTAAACTTTAACAACCCTAAACCTAACCCTAAAAACCCTAAACCTAAACACTGAAAGCCCTAAACCTAAGCCCTAAAAACCCTAAACCTAAAAACCCTAAACCTAAACCCTAAAAACCCTAAACCTGAACCCTAAAAACCCTAAACCTAAGCCCCAAAAATTCTACACCTAAAAACCCTAAACCTAAACCCTAAAAACCTAAAACCTAAACCCTAAAGACCCTAAACCTAAATCCCAACAACCGTAAAACCCTAAACCTAAACCCTAAAAACCATAAAGCCCCAAACCGAAACCTAAACCCTAAACCTAAAACCCTGAACCTGCCTGCCACCCACGCCCTCGCGGTACCACGGCCCTACGTTCTGAAGAGAACGGAGGTCACCACGTGTCAAATATGGCTGCACGAGTTCTGCTACTTGACTAGTAAAGGGTGCCATACTTGAACCACGTGTTGCAGGAACTCGAGTCACCTGGGCATGGGCAGGACAAGCGTGGATTAGGGGGTGACGGCAAACCTCGGGGGCTGTGGGTAACTTTAGCTCGCCATAAATTCTACTTGCGTAAGCAAGCACCCAGATTCTATCATAATGTGAGGCAAGTTAAGTTAGACCCTGAGACTACACCATTCTTCTGGATTATTTGGGTATATGTTAGACTCTATTTTGTAGCCCTCGACCACAAACCTGTCGCAGTGCTACAAGTGCTCTGTTTGCGGTGCCTAGCATTGCAAACAGCCGTGACCGCTAGGCTTGGAGGGAGAGTGGTCAGATATCGTGTGCGGGTAAACAAGCAGCCAATGCGCGGACCGCAGGATCACCGACAAGGCATGGTGCCAGCGAAGTACTCTAACGTCAAGATGTGATCCACTGAAAATCAGCGTTCAAATCAACCAGTCACGCCGTAGATAGGGCAGTGGCCTTGAAGCTGCATGGCCCTTGTTTTGCGTCGACAAATAATTCAGTTGAAGCACTGCAAAATATTTGAAACACGATCAACATAATCATCGGAGTTGGGTGTATCAGCACCAGTCGGTCGCACAAACCATACGCGTCTGAAAAAGGGAGGCAACCTTGTCCTTGTTGACATGGCTGCAACATTAAAGGCTAGGGCAACAATAAGGTGGGTCACAGCCGTGCCGAAAACGGGCCACAGTAAAGAACTGAGATTCTTGAAAGGCTTGCCAGTGGCGATTCGGTCTAAATTAGCTCAACTAGGTCTACTTAGCGCGACATAGCAGTTGTTTAGATCAAATCAGTCAGGAAAAGAGGGTGCAGGCTCGAGGTGTAGCTGAACTTGTCTCAGATTGGGCCGAAATGATTGATTCCTCCAGGTCGTAGATTCGATTCCCCCCGCCGCCCCTCCCCCCAACTGGGCCGAGGCTTGCATGCAGGCGACACGAAGGATCTGACAGTAATGTCCCCAAAGCAGCCTCGGCAAGAAGGCAATCTGTCAACAGCCTGTTTTGGGATCATGTGTAAGCCAGTGCACGGAATGAAATCTAGACTTGTTGAGGTTATCAAACATTGGTGTGGAACCAGTTCCTAGAATCAATCATGCAGTTCCTGCCCCAAACGCGCCTTCAGCTTCTAGGCTCGTTTTGGCATCAAACAGTCCCCTGACTGCCTCACCCTTGCTCAATCTTGCTTTTGCTGTTTGCTTCGTTGACCCGCAATTGGCGAGGCTGTGCTGGCAGAGCTTGCTTCCAGAGCAACTGCAAGAGCCGAGCTTTGAGCCCGCTGGAACTCCTGAGACTTTCAGTCGAGGCGAAGCTCACAGATGCCACGAGGATGTAGAGGTCTGCCACGATCGCGCAGCTGCCGGCCCGGCGACAGGATCTGCACGTGCGCTCCACGAGGCCAGAACTTTTCAATGAGCATGCCAGTGATTTCACCGTGAACTGTGATGCACGGAGAGAGGTGAAAAATGGCACGAAAGCGTCAGGCATCAGTTCGTAGCAGTGACCTGTTGCATAAAAAACAGCTGCAACGATACATGAATGTCGTGGTTATTGCTTGCAACTCTTATCAATCTTGGCTCCAGAGTTGGGTGCGAGCCCGTGGGCGGGCTCGTGGAAATCTCCAATGGTGTATGCCCGAGAGGCAGGGCTCTTTTTGCTTCAGCCTTTTTTGAGAAGGCTTGCTCCGAGGATGTGGAAAGTGTGCTGGCTGCTCGTGGTTGGAGGGAGATCAGGCAGATAGGCAGGGGAAAACGGGGGCAGATGGCTCAGTTGGAACGCGGGCGATTTGAATCGCGTGCCAGGGGAAGGCTCATTCGCCAAGGCTCTGCTTGTAGAGGCAGCGGATGGCACCCAGGCCGTTTGCAAGGCCAGGGACTTGTAAGCGCGAGCATCGCAAAAGAGTTGGCAGTCAGGTGATGGACATTAGTGAGGCATCCAGAAAAGAGGCGGGAAAATCAAGAGACGAGGCCAATGTTAGTAACTGTTGGTACTGTTGTATTAGCTTCCCACACCTGCATTGACAAAATGCTCTCATGCCGAAACTCAAGTTGATCGCTTTGAGAGACACTTTGCAGTGTCGTGTGCTTGTCAGGCTGAAGATGCCGCGAAGGATACACTTGACATCTTGTCGACTTGTCATTGCCAGTGTTGTGAATGGCGTGATTCAGAGTTGCTCTTATTGTTCTTGTCTTGAGAATTCCTCATACACTGGTGCGCAGGAAGGCAGATTGCTAGCATCCTTGCAACATCCCTTCGTCGTGCGGTACCGTGACAGCTTTTGCGAGGCAAGGTTCCCTTTCTTCATTATGTTGGTTGGCAGAACGCACGAATTGGCGGCTGGCATGTGACCAGGGGAATTGAGCTCACTTTCAGGCTGGCGTGTTGTGCCTCATCATGGACTTTTGTGAAGGCAGGATGGCGCCTCGAACTCTTGGTCGCAGAGGTTACTGTGGCCGCACGCTTTTTTGCCTGCCACATAGATGGCTCCGCATCTTGAAATGTGACAGGCGGCGAGCTTGCCAAGCAGATTCGCAGAGCCAGGCGAAACCATCAGAGGCACCATGGCATCTCTTGCTCTGAAGAGACGCCCACAGTTGCACCGGATTTCCTTTTTCTGCTTTTCTGCAGCCATTGCTGCGGCATACCATTTCATCTTGATCGCAAGGATGATCCTCTGCTATTCCGCTCCGCTGCCTGCTTTGCCTGCTGTGCCTGCCTCTTTCTCTGTCTGTCCGCCTTTTTGTATTGCATTTGTTCTTCAGTTTTGACTCGTAACCTCTGTCCTTTTTCCATTCTTTGCATGCTCGCTCGTTCATGCTCCCACTGCCATCTTTGTCTCATTTTCTGTTCTATGTTTTCAACCTGTTTGCTCAATGATTGTCTGCTGCCTGGGAAGAACGCCGGATCAGCTCATGTAGCAGCAGACAAGTGGAGCACGCTTGTTTGGTCTGCAGGATCCCGGAAGAGCAGATACTCCGATGGTTTACGCAGGCCTATGCGAGTTGGGTGTGTCAATGCAGTGGAGCAGCTGGTGGCTTGCTACACGCAGTGAGCCAGGCTATGCTGTCGCTGAAGTATATCCATGACAAGCACATCCTTCACAGGGTCAGCTTTGCAGCTGCACGCATGCCAGAAATCAGATCAGTTTTATGAGTTGTTGTCATGACCCTTTCCCCGCAAAGAGTGGACGGGAAGAGTCAGGACCTAAAGCCAGCAAATTTCTTCCTCACGAAGACCGGGTGGCTTGGGCAAGATTAATTGCGCAGTATGTCGAGAAGGCTGCCTACTGGTTCAAGCAGTCTTTGTTGGGCACCCCGTGGATGATGGGGTTGACGTAAATGCTAAGCCTCGTGAGGCTGACAAGGCTGACAATCATGATTCCTAAGCTGATGGTAGATAAATACAAATTATAGGTGGATGACAATACGGACAAAGATGATGCCAATTGCATGAGTATAGTGACAACCACAGTGAACACATGATTGTTTGTGTGATCTTGTTCATGTCAATGTAATGTTCATGCTCTCGTCATTTGAGAGCATTTGTCTCCTGTTGTCCTGTTGTCCAGTGGTTTCTGCATGCCCTTACGCATTGTTGCTTGTTGCAATGGAGGCATCTGAGAGAGATCTTCCCAGTTCCGCAGGTCTCTGAAAATGGGTGATTTTGGAATTGCCAAAACCATGGCCCGGGCGCTAAGATGGAGAGTCACCCCACATGCAGCATGCATACGACAGCACTGACTTGCTTCTGTCTGAGGCTTGTACGATAGCCTTTGCAAAGACAAGAATTGGTACTCTCCTTAGAACAGTTTCGACCTCCTGCGATAGCCCAGTGGCAGCCAACAGAGTGAATTTTTGATGTCAACCTTGAAGTGAACGTCATAATGACTGGAAGGATGAGGACAAGCAGACCTCTTGTATTTTGCTAAGGTACTCCCTACTATCTTAGTCCAGAAGTTTGCCAGGCGGTGTCTTTGTGTGTTGTATGTATGTGTCCTCATTTTGCTTCATGAGTTTCCGGCCTAGCCGCAGCCGCAGGAGAAGCCATATGCTTGGGCATCTGACATGTGGTCGATGGGTTGGGCGGCTAAGCATATGCAGCTGCACTTCTGCAGGTAGGGGATGCTTTGTCATCTCGCTTTGCAAAGCGACATTTGTATGAACACGTTTATATACATGAGACCAGGTATGTCAGCGACCAAGCTTGCAACCCATACTTTTGCTCTACACACTCTACAGATTGACCCGTTGCTTGCTTGAGGAAATCCACTCTTTGCTGCTGCTTGACGTTGTGCCTAGAGTGAGTTGGACGCATTCTCGGCAGCACCCAGGTTGCTTGAGGCTTCCATTTAGGCTCTTGTGGCTTCCAAAATGTTTTCTTCGACTTCTTTCCTGCTTTTGTTTTCCGCCAAAATGATGTGCTACGCGCCCAGCACATGGACAGGCCGAACGGCCACAGACATGCAAATGCGATTTCAGTGGAAGTTAATGCCGACAACATGCTCCCCAACATGCTCCCCAACAAAATTAATCCATGTTTGCATGCAAGCCCTTGTGGACCTGGCTGCAAACTGAAGGCAGCTTGCAAAAAATCGAATGACAGCACGAAGCCAAGCTCATGCCAATGCAACATGATGCTGAAACAATGCCCGGTTCAACACCGGAATGATATATTTGTGATGTCGCTTCAAGGCTGGCAAGCATGCCCAGAGATGAGTGGCGACACACAAAATAATATTAGCTTTTAATTGGCCTTTTGGATCTTTGTCGTCTTGTACTGTGGCACTTTGGGTTCTTTGTCCAATGCCATTTAGATGACGATTTCATTAGCAGGTACAAGTGGCCCTCCACTACAAGACCCAACCAAACAACTTTGTGCCAAACTTTCAAATTTCTATGCATGTTGTCTCAATACTGGAACTCAGTGAGTAGTTTTTGAATATTCAATCGATGCCGAATCCAGTCCACAACGCGGGCTTGTTCTGTCGATGTTCAAATCAGGCGTTTCAACGTTGCTTTGATGCCAAATATTGCTGCTGTCAAATGGGTGTGTTCTTTGTTGAGGGCACCTTTGTTTTGTGGTTTTAAAAGAACACCAACAGGAGTCCCTGAAACACATACCCAAATATGGTTTGCAAGCACTCTTTGGCATTTGGGGCAGCCTTCGAATTTGCATACCATGGTGGCTGCATCAATTATCATCTATTGGCATGACTGGTTGGCAACAGTTCGCTGCTGCAGCAACCCGCAGTGGCATGTGTAGGCTGAAACAATGTAAAACACAAAGTCGCCCTCTGCGAGGGCTGCATATTTGTCATGTAAAGGGGCCAACACAATGGGTCCTCTAAATGCTTCGCCCATTGTGCCCATGAATTCCTTTGTTGCATAGATAAGCACTCGACTTTGGCCTTGGACATGTTGACAAGCTGGTTCTGTTTGCAAGCATATTCTCAAGAAATACACAGAGCTAATCTTTTAGTTGGCTACCTACACTGGAAGCTGCCTAATGTCTTTGCCTTCTTGTCATGTGCTTGGTACACAACTAAAACTTGAAGAACTGTGTATACACCAAGGTTGCATCCTGTATGAGATGTGTGCTTTGCCGGCAGCTGAGATTGTGTTGTCAGCTCAAGCTACCCCGCTTCCAGAAGGAATGGGACCCGTAACACGTTGTGTGCTCGAATAGGTGACAGGAAGGTGAAGACACAGAGAGAGAGAGAGCTTACAAATCCACGTACTACGCTTTAACCTCGCCGCATACTGACAGGCAAGTCCCTTTCGATGCGCACAGCATTTCGGGCCTTGTGCAGAAGATCTGCTATGGCCCCTTGCCGACTGTTCTGCACTCAGTTCGGTGCAGGCCGGTGCGGCCATTGGGAGGTTTACGCCAACTTGGGTCCCTGGGCGAGCGTCGAAGCTTCGAAGATGTGCAGTTGAGGTGCCAGACTGCTACTCTGACTTTCTGCGACGGCAACTTGCCTGCATGTGGTGCAGCAAGGTCTTCTTTGCATCTGCCAAATCCGCATGAACTGATTGCCCATCTTGCCAATGGCCCTATGAGAAACCAATCCGATGGCATGCAACGCACTCGTGCCAGGCTTTGCCGGCAGCTCCTCGACCGGGATCCCAAGAAGAGACCCTCGGCCGATGAGGCGTTGGCTGGGGATCCGTGCCCAAGTGGCTTGGAATTCTGGATTGTCACATGCCTTGCAATGTTTTGATCAACCTGCTGTCGTTCCTGATAGAAATACATACAGCATTTGCAAACTGATCCATACAGAGTCATTTTGGGAGGCTAACTTTCCTGGCAACTGCCTCTTCCACTCTTTGCAGAGCTCTTGGAGCTATTTGAATGCGCTTTGAACAAACCAATCTGCGGCCTGTCCCTGCGCCAATGGCCTGTCGCCGGCAGCCGCGCGTACAGGAGAGGCTGAGAGGGTTTTGTGGGCTTTCCTTTCACTCGATGCTCCCGCACTTTTTGTTTTTGCAGGAGCATCGGTTGCTGGCTGGGCTGCTGGCCGCTGCGGTCCTGCATGGAAGCTTGGCATGACATGCCTCCCACTCCACTCGGGAAGCTTCAGCGCGAGGCCTCACGCCAAATTTCGCTGCTCCTCCGCGACGTGCCGTGTTGGCCTGGGGCCAAGAGTTGGAAGTTGGAGATGGAAGAGATGGACGAGATAGGCTAGGAGCGAAGAGATCGCTTGGAGCTTTGCGAAACTTTGAGGCCGCCCAGCTTGGCGCTCTCTTGGCGTCTTCGCCGGCTCATGCGGGGCTCCCTTTGAAGAGCTTCGGCTCTGGTGGCTTCAAGGAATACACAGTGGGCAATGCCTACCAGGCTTGGGAAGTGCCCCCGATTTACCACTCCAACCATCCGTTGGTGATCAGATTCGCCAACGCAGGTGTCCATGCCTGACAACTACAAGGCCATCGTTTTGGTCTGTCTCCTTGCCTATGTCACGCCCACAGGTGCTGAGTGAGTCACCCACAAAGGTGACCTGGCAAGGCGACAGGCAGGCTTCAACACAACCACTGAATCATTGCCATCCAGTGCAAGTGGTGGGCAGGCAAGGAGATCTCAACACCATGACGGCCCAAGTGCAAGTAGTCGAGGCGGACACGCTCGAGAAAGCCCTCAACATGGAGGGTTTGGCTATCCGCGACATTGGCGAGAAGCTTCTTGCCAATCCAGCCTAAGATTTGAGGATGAGTCTACTGTCAATTTTGTTTTGGGTTGATGATAGTATGGCCACAGTGCTGCTTGGTGGTCCTGCTGCTTTGTCCTCTTTGATCGCTCTCACAGCAGCATTAACAGGGTAAACTCTTTAAATTTACAATCAGGAGCGTGAAGGAAGTAGTCAGTTGGCACTGCCATGCCATCTCGACTGTCTTGTTTCAACTAAGACTGTCAGACAAGAGACCATTCGGTGGATCTGACTTCATGGGCGTCACTTGGTTCTGGAAGTGGCGAGTGTGGCTGCCTCGTTTCAGCAAGAGCCAATCTCCAGCAAAGAAGGCACCAATGTTGCAGGTGTTGTCTTCATTTTTTCCCGTCGCGGGATCATTGGACTTGTAATCCTGCATTGCAGTTGTGTTTGGGTTGAAATTCGCACTGCCGAAAGCTGCATGGAGCAGAGGTAGAAAAGCTGGAAGATGCTGGCGCATACCGCTTTGAGTTCGTGAATGATAAGATCCATGAGCCCTTTGGCACGGGTTTCAGCACCATATGTCAGAAAGCATGGCTCCATGTCTCGCATTCGATGCGCATTCCTTGAGGTACATTTTGCTTGGTGTGATCAAAAAGGATTCTCAGAATTTGCTTTGCACTGTCATAACGCGAGCACCAGGCTGGCGAGTTTTGCATGCCTTGGTTCAGAGGTTGAGAGGTTGTCTCTTTCGGATTTTCCGGTTGACAGGGTGTGTTGTGCTGGCCATGCTGAGAGGCTTGCTTTGGTCCAACGGTGATCGCTACCAGACATTTGCCAAGATCATGTCGAGCTTCAAGCCGATTGCAATTTGGCAGCAAAAACCACATCCTGTGGCTCATGTGGAGCCTTGGAGCATTGCATGTGGTTATCGTGGTTTTTCGTCCCAGCATAGCATATCGCGCTTGCTGGCTGAGGTTTAGTTCGGGGAGCTGTCAAGCAGCTGTCGAGATTTGGACGACGACCATGCGAAGTATTATGATTCAATTTTCATCCTACAGACCGGTATGATATCCTCTTGAGTGCCAGCGCTTTGTGTGCCAGCACAAGTGATGCGAACCGAGAAGAAATGGAGCGCAACGTATAGAGAGAATTGCCAGAAGTGCTCTTTGGGAAGGATACACACACACACACCGCAGACAGAAACATTGGGAGGTGTTTCGAAGAGACAGTTTTCCGTCCGGTTTCTCTCTTACAGTACGGGCAGTCAAAAGACACGGCAACCTTTGCAGGTGCTCCAGCTGCCAGAGATTCAGAAGGTCGTGCGCCAGATGCTTGAAGAAGCACGGCTCCCAGCGCCCAAGCCGGCTGAACCGACGGAGTGTTGTGTGTGCATGGGTGTTTTGTTTGCCTTCTTTGTGGTTGGTTTGAACGGAAGCCAAAATCTTTCAAAAGGAAACCAAAGATTTTGGGGATTCCTTATTTTGATACATTCCAATGTTCATTCAGTGACTAAACTCGATTAGGGGGGAAACGAACAAACTGGCTGACTGTGCTTGCAAGCATGGCAGCCTTACCCAAGGTGCGATCTCTCCAACGTGAGGATGGGTTGGGGGGGAGGGGGAATTGATGTTGAGGCACCTACGAAATGTTGCACCAGGTCCAACGCTGTCATGACACACCTCCAGCTAAGATAGCATGCCTGAATGCCTGAATGCTTCAATTCCATTGGATGCAGGGAGAACAAAACATTTGTGACCTTTCTCACATTGCGCAGCTCAAAGCAGACTATGCCCTTACCTTTTTCCAGGACAGGCGAGCAAAGACCTCTGCCACGGCGGGCGCCTACAGGCGTGAAACTTCTGAGAGGAAGTCTTCAGTCGCTCATTTGGAGAATGCCGATCTGCTAGCCACAGAAAGCCAGGGTTTGGGGAGATTGTTTATCGGGGCTTTACGGACTGCAGGAAAGATGATGTGGTTGAATACTACTCAGTCACACATGGCGTCGAGACCCTAGTTGAAAAGGCTGAGCATGGAGCGAGAAGCTGCTCAATCCTTCCATGCCCTTCCTGAGGAGTGGCTCCCAGCCACCATCGTAGATGCGGACTCGATGGGCCGAGTCATGATCGATCTGCGGCCAGGGGTTTGGCTTTCGCCTGTCTAGAGCTGAGCTTGACGTCGGCGCTCGGAAGTCAAAGCACGTGTCACGGTTTGCCTCAAAGTAAGGAGGTTCAAGCCTCCAAGATTCGACCGCGGGAAGGCGCAAGTGGGGAGCTGAGAGTTCAAGATGTCGCCTGCTGCCAGGAAGCTCGAGCGATGAAAGCTCTGGAAGTCAGGAAGAATGGAGGCCTTGTGTATGGAATGCTTGCCCCAGTTCACTTTTGCCAGTGCACTTTTTGGGTCGGTCAGGCAACCAGGCAAGGTCTCGGACGAGGATGCCTCAAAAGCTGTTCCAGCAGGCTCGCTTTGCGCTTTCTTTTGCAGCCAATGGTTTTGGGCGAGGATTCAGTGGACCCAAAATGGACGATATATATGTATAATATACATGTACATATATATATATATATATATATATATATTTTTTTCTGGGCCTGCGGCCTCTAGCCGGCTACGCCTCTTTGAAGTTATACCATGTCATGTCATGTTTTTTGTATGAGAAACGTATCCTGTGCTATGATATGGCTGATTAAATTATGCCTGTTGCCCACCCCAACCCCAGATGATGCCGGGGATGCCAGCTTTCTGGGCCCTAGCCAGGACCCAAACCAGAAGGCTCACATGGGGTCGCGCGCGCGCGCGCGCGCCAGAGGCCGCAGAAGCAGCAGCCCAACAAGAACAGCCCGCAAGCCAGCCCGGAAACGCAAAAGCAACAAAACACCGTAAATAGCAGCGTTTTGTGGCTGGGGTCGCGCGCGCGCGCGCCAAAAGGCCCGAAAACCAACGCGAAAAAAGCCACAGCAAAAGCAAAGCGGACAGAACAACAGCCCACCGCTCAGCACAGCAGTTTTTGACGGTATTTACAGAGTTTTGTAGAGCGAGGACCCAGCATTGCCGGCATGCCCGGCAGCGCTTGGCGCGAAAATGCGCGAAAATGAGCCTCGCTTATATCCCTCCGACACCTTCTAAAAACAGTGCTTTTTGGGTTGAGAGGCTTTTTGGAAGGAAGTCCGGATGATGCAGACCAAGCCCCGCTGAAGCGTTGCCCAGGCCCAACCCCACACCCTGATGATGTCAGCCACATGGCCTAAACCCTGCATATACGCGAGGTTTTGTGAGGGTTTCCCACAGGCAAGCAAAACCGCAAGCCCGAGCTGGTGATGCAGAGGTGCCGGATTTAGGTAGCGCATCACGACCAAGTGGCGAGGGTCCCCTATAGTAGCTAAAGCTAGCAGGCAAATTGCCTAGCGGCGACATGCTACCCCAAGGAGGCGTAGCCGGGCTTACGCCTGACAGCCAGGCGCCCCGAAAAGCGTCAGTGTTCCACGTGCTGTCATGATTTTTGCAACCGCGCGGCCTGGAACCCATACAAAACCAGCAATAACACTTGGTTTTTCTACTGGTTCGCCAAAAACGCTGCCAGAAATCGGGTTCGGCCGGGGAGAGGTGAGCCCTGCCTGCTAAGCAGGTGTCCACATTTTCCACGTTTGCGCCCGGCCTTGAATCCATACAAAACTATCGAAAACACAGTGTTTTTTCTGCGGTTCACCGAAAAGCCTACCAAAAATCGAGTTCGGCCGGGACCGTTGAAGCCTGCCTGCTAAGCAGGTTTCCATATTTTCCACGTTTGCGCCCGCCAAAAACCTGCAAAAACACGGTGTTTTTGCACCGACTCAGGGGACAACATCCCCAGCATCCCCCGCATCACCGGCCTTATCCGCATCAATGTCCGCCATGGATGCGGACGATGCAGGTGATCTGCTCAACAAGTCGTCAAAAGTCGCCTGAACAAATTCACAAATCCTTCGCCCCTTAGCAGTGAATGCAGCCTCCGTTCGACACGGAGTAAACGTGGAGTGAACCTAGAGTGGCGCGAGCCTTATAACCTTCGGTTAGAGGGAACCGAAGGCCTCCGGGGAAACCACGGGCTCGGGGCGCCCGGATTTATGGGCTGCCGCCCAGTGCCGTTTGGGAATGATGATGAACTGATATGATAGCATCGTGACCCAGGCACGTTTTCTTGCCACACGATACCCTTCTATCTCGGCAAGAAAACTTGGGCTGAGATTACGAAGAAGATGATGGTAACCATTTCCACGCATCTTCTGCATCTCAAATCGGCTCTAACGGGACACTTGAAACGTATATAAAGAAAGATAAGGGCGATGACGAAGAAGATGATGATGATGATGAGCACCGTGACCCAAGCACGTTTTCTTGCCATACGATGCCCTTCTATCTCGGCAAGAAAGCTTGGGCTGAGATTACGAAGAAGATGATGATGATGATGATGAGCGATGATGATGATTATGACTATGATGATGATGATGATGATGACGATGATGATGATTAGCAACGTGATGATGACGATGATGATGACGATGATGATGACTATGATGATGATGATAATGATGATGATGAGTGATGATGATGATGATGATGATGATGATGATGATGATGATGATGATGATGATGAAGTGACATGATAACCATCATCGTGCATCCTCTGCATCAGCAGTCATCGTGCCAATGCGCTTTGATTGGCACGCTTCCATAGAACCTGCGCCCATTCTGGAGCGATCGTTTTCTTTCCTTGGCTTGGTGCATTTTTGTAATAATCTGGTAAGAAAATGCGCCGCTGTAAGTGCCTACAATTCTGCTGCCGCTGGGAGCATGTGCCGTGACGTTGCGTTTGCGGTAGAGGCTCATCGCCGGTCGCCCCGCAAGCCAACCAGTTTTCTCGCCGCAAGTCGTGTCCGCGATGGGTCCCCTATTGTAGCCAGGGTGCGGTGCATTTTTGCTTTGCTTTCGCGTGAAAATGCAGCGCTTTTATGATGATGATGATGACGATGATGATCATGATGATGATGATGCTGAAGTGACATGATAGTCATCATGACGCATCCTCAGCATCACCAGCAGTCATGATGATAATCGTGTCCACGCATCTTCTGCATAATCATCATGAGGCATCCTCAGCATCACCAGCAGTCATCGTGATAATCATGTCCACGCATCTTCTGCATCTCAAATCGGCTCTAACGGGACTGATGAGGATGATGATCATGATGAGCACTGTGATGATGATGATGAACTGAGATGGTGGTCATTATCGTCATCGTCATCATCATCATTGTCATCATCATCGTCGTCATCATCGTCCTCTGCATCTCCCAACGATGATGATGTGATGATGACGAGCATGTCATCATCACCATGATGGTGGTCATTATCGTCATCGTCATCATCATCATCGTCATCATCGTCATCATCATCGTCATCATCATCGTCATCATCATGGATGATAACCATCATCGTGCGTCCTCTGCATCACAAGCAGTCATGATGATAATCATGTCTACGCATCCTCTGCATCTCCAATCAGGTCACAACGATGATGATGTGATGACGATGAGCGTGTCATCATCACCATGATGGTGGTCATCATCGTCATCATCATCATCGTCACCATCATCATCATCATCGTCATCATCATCATCGTCATCCTCGTCATCAGCATCGTCATCATCATCGTCATGATCGTCGATGATAACCATCATCGTGCATCCTCTGCATCGCCAGCAGTCATGATTATAACTCATAATCATGATAGCCATCATCGTGCATCCTCTGCATCACCAGCAATCATCGTGATAATGCGCTTTGATTGGCACGCTTCCATAGAACCTTCCTTGGCTTAGTTTGCTCGATGGGTCCCCTATTGTAGCCAGGGCGCGGTGCATTTTTGCCTTGCTTTCGCGTGAAAATGCACCGCTTTTATGATGATGATGATGATGATGATGATGCTGAACTGACATGATAATCATCATGACGCATCCTCAGCATCACCAGCAGGCATCATGATAATCATGTCCACGCATCTTCTGCGTCTCAAATCGGCTCTAACGGGACTGATGATGATGATCATGATGATGATGTTGATGATGAACTGACATGATAATCATCATGTTTCATCCTCAGCATCACCAGCAGTCAGCATGATAATCATGTCCACGCATCTTCTGCATCTCAAATCGGCTCTAACAGATCATCATCATCACATCATCATCGTTGTGACCTGATTGGAGATGCAGAGGATGCGTAGACATTATTATCATCATGACGCTAGTCACGCAGAGGATGCGCAATGATGGTTATCATCCATGATGATGACGAGGACTGATGATGATGATCATGATGAGCGCCGTGATGATGATGATGATGAACTGAGATGGTGGTGGTCATTATCGTCATCATCATCATCATTGTCATCATCATCATCGTCATCATCGTCATCATCATCGTTATCATCATCATGTCATCATCACCATGATGGTGGTCATTATCGTCATCGTCATCATCATCACCGCCAATCGTCATCATCGTCATCATCATCGTCATCATCATCATGGATGATAACCATCATCGTGCATCCTCTGCATCGCCAGCAGTCATGATGATAATCATGATAACCATCATCGTGCGTCCTCTGCATCAGCAGCCGTGATGATAATCATGATAACCATCATCGTGCGTCCTCTGCATCACCAGCAGTCATCGTGATAACGCGCTTTGATTGGCACGCTTCCATAGAACCTGCGCCCATTCTGGAGCGATCGTTTTCTTTCCTTGGCTTGGTGCATTTTTGTAATAATCTGGTAAGAAATTGCGCCGCTGTAAGTGCCTACAATTCTGCTGCTGCTGGGAGCATGTGTCGTGACGTTGCGTTTGCAGTAGAGGCTCATCGCCGGTCACCCCGCAAGCCAAGCCAACCAGTTTTCTCGCCGCAAGTTGGGGCCGCGACGGGTCCCCTATTGTAGCTAGGGTGCGGTGCATTTTTGCTTTGCTTTCGCGTGAAAATGCACAGCTTTTATGATGATGATGATGATGGTGCTGAACTGACATGATAATCATCATGACGCATCCTCAGCATCACCAGCAGGCATCATGATAATCATGTCATCATGATAATCATGTCCACGCATCTTCTGCATCTCAAATCGGCTCTAACGGGACTGATGATGATGATCATGATGAGGACAGTGATGATGATGAGCATTTCATCATCACCATGATGATGGTCATTATCGTCATCATCATCATCATTGTCATCATCATCCTCATCGTCATCATCGTCATCATCATTGTCCTCATCATGGAATCATCGTGCGTCCTCTGCGTACCAGCAGCAGTCATGATGATAATCATGTCTACGCATCCTCTGCATCTCCAACCAGGGCACAACGATGATGATGTGATGTTGATGAGCATGTCATCATCACCATGATGGTGGTCATTATCGTGATCGTCATCATCATCATCGTCATCATCATCATTGTCATCATCGTCATCATCATCGTCATCATCATCGTCATCGTCATGGATGATGACCATCATCGTGCATCCTCTGCATCGCCAGCAGTCATGATGATAATCATGATAACCATCATCGTGCGTCCTCTGCATCACCAGCAGTCATCTTGATAATGCGCTTTGATTGGCACGCTTCCATGGAACCTGCGCATGGCAATGAGGGGCTTCACTTTGGCAAGTGAACCAGATGATGACTTGGCAACCTGCTGGCACTTCTCTGTGTTGTTCTTTGCCCTCCTCAAGTGGTAGAGCATGGTAGAGATCCTGTCAAACCTGCTTCCAGCCCAGAGTAGACTCTTCAAGCTGGTTTTGTTCAACTCAGGTTCCAAGCTCACCGCCTTCAGGATTGAAGCTCTCACCTGGGTCAGCAGAAGCTGGCCTTCAGGCTGAACCAGCAGCAAGCTCTTCAGCAAGTCAAAGCGCATGGCTTTTTCTCTCTTTTTTTTTGCAGCCTGTGCTTTGCTGATGGTCTCATAGGCACCCAAGTCCTGCCAGCTTTTATTGCTGTGCAGGGCCATGTCCAGCACTGACTGGTCCACTGGCACCTGCTCCCTCTTTCCCATTGCGCCCATGTGTTGACTGCAAGATATGGCTAGGCCAAACGCTGCAACTGCAGTTTTCAAACATCTGCAATGATCTGATGCAGTCTGCCTCTTGGTCGCTGCCCTTCTGCAGGGCTTTTCTGAGGCAAGCAGCGTGCCCTTTGATCTGTCCCCTTCTGCGAGTTGCAACCATTTCATAAACCTGCATTCATTCTAAGAAACCTTACAATCGAAAAAAGATTGATATTTTGGTTGAAAAACACTTCAAAAATATCAATCTTTTTTGGAGAAAATATCAATCTTTTCCTTCAAAAAATAGCTTTTAAAAAACACTTCAAAACACCTAAAAAATGCGAATATCAATCTTCATTTTCATGGATTGATTTTTTGATCCTGGATCCTCTGGGAAAAAAGATAAGGACGACAACATCATGTTTACGCATCCTCTGCATCTCCAATCAGGTCACAACGATGATGATGTGATGATGATGAGCATGTCATCATCACCATGATGGTAGTCATTATCGTCATCATCATCATCATCGTCATCGTCATCATCGTCATCATCGTCATCATCACCGTTGTCATCATGGACGACAACCATCCTCGTGCATCCTCTGCGTCACCAACAGTCATGATGATAATCATGACTACGCACCCTCTGCATCTCCAATCGGGTCTATCGCTACCCTTGAAATGCTTATAAAAAAGATAAGGACGACAACGATGATGTTTGATATAATGACAAGCGTGTCATCATCATCAGCATCGTCATCATCATCAGCATCATCATCGTCCTCCTCATCGTCATCATCACCGTTATCATCATCGATGATAACCATCATCGTGCATCCTCTGCATCACCAACAGTCATGCTGACAATCATGTCTACGCATCCTCTGCATCTCCAATCAGGTCACAACGATGATGATGTGATGATGATGAGCATGTCATCATCACCATGATGGTGGTTATCATCATCATCATCATCGTCATCATCATCAGCATCATCCTTGACGCCAGCCAGCAGCGGCGGTAGTGGCAGCAAAGAGCGTACTGGCTAGTCCAGAACAGACTGCGAATGCAAGTCCCTCCTCACGGGCATGCAGGACACTTGAAACGCACACGAAAAAGACACGGATGACGACAATAATGATCATGATGACGAAAAAGACACGTCTTTCAGGCGCAAAGGATGCTACGATGACAGTATTGCTTACGCTGATAATGTTGAATCTTCGGCTATGCTCATTTACCAACCATCCTTGGACTTGTGCTATAACCACCCTTCCCGTGCGCCTCCCCCTTTGAGGAGAAGGGGTCGGCGGATATAGACATACGTATATATATATACACACATGCAGTGGAATGGGATGGACAAAATCCGGCGCCGGTTGGTGGTTTATCCCAGTAGGATGAAGATGGCATCGAGCGATAGCATGGCCGCCTGTCCATTCGGATCGCGATGCCAGTTGACTCAGTGCCCGAGCCACTCCCGCCACGGGTTGAGCGGAGGTGGGGACACCAAGACAGTCCAACCACCGCATCCGTTTTGCTGAGCAAGTGTGGGGGTGGGGCGTGTCACTTGCATATGTTACCTGAAACTGGGGCTGGATTGAGCCGCGACGACAACTTGAGTATATGATGTACATGGTCGAGAACAGGCGCCCATGTGTATGCAAGGAAGGCACCATTGCGCCTTCGAGACTCACCACGCCCACCAGAGGTTGGCATGTGCAGCATGCATTGCCACTGTGCTGTGAGTCATTCCAGCAAGTTTCCCGAACATCTTTGTTGACCGTTAAAGGCTGTCCCCCTACCTCGTTTACGCGGGGTTTATTGTCGTTGGGTAAATGGTTTGCCCGCGATGGGGGAAGTGGCAAAGGCCACCTGCTCAAAGAGCATTCCGAGGTGTTTACATGGGACACATTGCCATGTGCTAGATCATCATGCGTCAAGGGCAGTAGCGGTTACCTCTGATCTTGGGCGCTTTGCCAGTGTTGGGCCGTGCCCAACCTTTGACCAAAATACTGAAGCACACACCCCTCCCCCGCACATCCACACACCTACTGATATTAGAGATACCTCTTGCAGGAACCGCGGCCACTGCGTGCAATTGAAGTGCCCGCCGGGGACACGGCGATGTGCAAGAGGATGCATGGATTTCAGTCAGTGTGGCCCTTTTTCACATAGGCAAGATCAAGTGGCTGCTTGCAGGCCGCACTTTGTATCATTTGCGCCAGCTGTGCAGGGTGCCAACTACGATCAGCTGGACCGCCTGCTTGGGGAAAAGGCTGGCGTAGTTTCCTACCTTGCTTGCAGTCAGCACGTGACGACATGCGTCAGGCTGTGCGGCCGGTAGTGTGGCGCAGTCCATCGGTGCGCGTAGAAGTTGGGTGCGGAATTGTGAAGGCACCGAGGCACCCATTTCAGCCCATTTCTGAGGCCGGTGCCATCGACCGCCAGCCAGGTCCAATCAGGTGCGGAGCGTTTGACACTGTTGTTTACTGGCGGAAGCCAAGCCCTTTCAAAGCATTGAACTGGGGCCGGTCAACATCAACGCTCGTCGCAAAGCAATGGGCACTTCGGAATGCGCAAGGCGGGCACCCTCTGCAAGTGGCTTAGCGAGCCGTGGGCGACGGCTGGAAGCTCAAATTTCGTACGCAAGCCGCGTGAGACTTGCAAGATGCAGAGGTGCGCTTGGTTTACTTTGCTTGTCATAGGCCTGCTGCCCTTGTGCCGCTGGACAATCCGCCCAGCAGCCTTTGTCCCGGGAGGGTTCTGAAATTCCGAGTTAGCGGTTCTGAGCCGTGAGCCGCATGTTCAGAGGTCGAGCACCTTCGTCGGATAGCTGCCGGGCAGGCACTCCACCAACGCTTGGACCTCGGCAGGCTTCTAGCATACAAAGTGTCCAAGAAGGCACGTTTGCCATGTTTGCCGCATTCAGGCGGCCTGGTTCTGGAGATGGAGAGAAGGACTCTCTGTCTACACCGAATGCACCAGGCCCGCCAGTACATCTTCGTCCCTGCTAAGTGGACACTGCAATGCATTTGAGAGCTGCAACTTGTCTCAGGCTCGCGCCGCAGGACACCAATGGGAGTCAAGTCTCGCCTGGACCCCGGATGCTTGCAGCTTTGGATTTGACGCGCCGAAAGTAACGCTGAAGCAACCAGCAGAGGAGCCAGGCGATTCCTGTGCGCATTTGTTCCCCAGGCGCCCATTGCCTTGCTGCAGCCGCGCGCGCGGCTGGGCGAGTGATCGCTTGGAGCTGAATGCGCGCTTGGTAATTTTCAGGGCCGTATGTATAGATTGGTCATGTGCACCCTTTGAAAGAGTTGGCAGAGCAGTTGGTATGATTGCTCGAGAGGCAGATGCCTAAGGCCATAAGCTTTTGTTGCCTAAGGCTGGAGCTTGAGTTCGCACTCCGAAGACTTGAGTGACTTTAATCTGTGAGATGGTTCTCGGGCCCTGGGAATTCGCTCCGTGCCTTTATTGTTGCGAGCTTTGGCCTCGCATCATTGGCACTTGGTGCCAATGGGGATGCATGGCCAGAAAGTGCTCAGCATTGGAACCATTTCTATTGGCAGTTTTCTCTTAGCTGCTGCCTGCTGTTGCATTTCTGGAGAGCGGACAATTTGCCCATGGCAATTGTGCAAGTTGCATTGGAGGTGGCGAGGGTATGCAATGAATGGCTGACTTGTATTGGGTGTAGACTGTTTCCTTTGTTTTTGCAGTCCGTCCCTTTGCCACCGAAATTCTCGACACCAAGAGCGTGTCTCCGCCAGGGCAGGCACCAGCTTTTTGATTCATGAATTGTGTGGCAAGTTGCCCACTTGCCGCAATGCTGTGTGCTGAACACACCAATCTAGACTCATGCAAGCAGTAGCAGAGCTGCGACACAGTGGTTCAGACTTGGACCTTTTGTAAGGGCGCACAGCAACTCTGTCCTGAGCTGTCGCTGCTTGCCTTTGCTGCTTGCTTTTGGTTGCATGTTTTTGGGCGAGGTGAAGGCCCACTCGGGAACGTGGATTGCAGCCTCCGTGGCTCTTTCCATGTTGAGGCAGCAGATTTCATCGAACTGCCAGGGCCCAACTATCACCGCTCACTGCAAGGACAAGACTTGCAACAGACCACAGGCCTGGACACTCCGCCATCCCGGGGCCAGGGACAGACCCAGCCTGTGGTCGGGCTGAGCCAGGCACAAGGTCCGGCGCACTGTACAGCAAGCCCACGCGACCCGTTTGACCCCTTTGTCCCCTCTGACCCCTTTGTTCCCTATGTCTTTGTTCGATGCGGTTCTTTCGGCCCAGAGCCGCCGCACAGTTTCCTTCCGCGTTGGACTGAGCGGACTTGAGATCGCCTTATTTATCGGCTTTCAGTTGTTTCCACTGGCGTAGCGAGTTCTGCATTACAGCCATCAAGTCCGTGATAGCTGATATGTCAAGATGTGGCGGCGAGAGCCGTGTAGCCACAGACGGACAGAAGGCTTACGAAGATGCACTTCACTCGACTCTTTCGAGGTCCCACTCGCCATTGAATTTAGTGGGCATTTGAGCGGGATTGACTCAAACAGATCTTTTCCATAAGTGCATCGTTCAATTCAGGCTTTGTCTCAGCGCTGATGGAGCACTGCTTCGTTGGGGTCGCACATTTGAGGCCATTGGACAAGCAGGTGCCTGCGAGAGCAGCTTATGGGTTCGCCAGAGACTGGATCAGAGAACGGACGATCCTGCAGCCACATCCAGCTCTGTGCTTGAAGGATGTCATGCCACACCTCAACAGGTGAATGGCGCGCAGGCCAAGCTGGTTTTTGGTTGCTTGTTCGGGTTAAGGAGAAACGATCTGGGAACAGAAGCTGGCGCCATGGTGGCATATTCGAATTTGTGTTCCCAGGCGTAAAAGCAGAAAGACTCGCGTGCAAAACACACACACACACACACACACACACACACACACACACACACACACACACACACACACACACACACACACACACACACACACACACACACACACACACACACACACACACACACACACACACACACACACACACACACCCACTCACACACACACACTCACACACACACACACACACACACACACACACACACACACACACACACACACACACACACACACACACACACACACACACACACACACACACACACACACACACACACACACACACACACACACACACACACACACACACACACCCAACACACACACACACACACACACACACACACACACACACACACACACACACACACACACACACACACACACACACACACACTCACCCACACTCACACACACACACACACACACACACACACACACACACACACACACACACACACACACACACACACACACACACACACACACACACACACACACACACACACACACACACACACACACACACACACACAC